AGAAGTATGAATATGATCAAAATATATTATATGCATATATGAAAATGTCATAATAAAACCCTCTATCAGGTATAATATATAAGACATTTTGAAATGTATTATTTTTCAGCAATCTAAAATATTAAGAAAATACCATAAAATATATCATTGCAAACCTTCAGCAAAATTGTACTTAATAGTAGTAAGTTAAAAGTCTTATCTTGAAGACCAAGAAAAAAACGAGGCCACCTGGGATCAGAATCTTTATTCAACATTGTCCTGGAAGTTCTAACCAATACCAGGCCAGGAAAAAGGGAAAGCAGAATGGAAAGAGACTGAAAAAGAAGAAACACATTGTCATTATTGGTAGATGGTACGTATATAAAAATATTCAGAGTAAACCACTTGAATTAACAGGAAAGCTTGGCAAGTTCTCTGAATTTAAAATAGATATATGCAAAAATCAATTATACTTACGTACACCAGTTAGAAATGATCCAAATTTAAGAATGATATCATTGACAATAACATTAAATAATAATGACACCTTGAGCCAGCAAGAGCTCACGAGATTTCTATGAGGCAGCGGTGTAAATATACAGAGAAGCGGTATACTGATATGCTTTAGAAAACAAAGATGATCTAAACAAATGGGAAGACAAATTCATGCCTAAATCTAAAGACTTTGTATCATAAAAACATCACTTCTTAAATTTGCAAATGCAATGTTATTCCAGTGAAAACTCCAAGTGTACTTCGAACTTGACAGTTGGCTCCTGAATATACAAAGGGCAAAGAGATCTTGGAAGAGAGAAAGAGTAACAAGAATTGCTCAACTAGATGTCAAGACACCACTATAACAGGAGACAAACGAATGCCTGGTTGTCTGAGAAAGGCCTAGGAAGTCTTTGGAAGATATTTACAGAGAGTATCAGCATGATTTCAAAGAACATTCTCAACTAAAATATAGCATGCATTTGACAAAAAAAAAAAAAAGGACTGATCAGTTGAACTACCCCCAAATGGAAGATTTCCATGTATCAAAATCAGTATCAAATATTTCCAAATGAGAAGCAAAGAAGTGGGAAGTTATTTGTGCATCATAAGTAGCAGGAATTACTACTAAAGTATTAAAAACTCAGAAATCTGTAAGGAAAAGACAATTCAATAGGAAAGCCACTCACAAAAGAAACCAAAGTAGACAATAAACATGAATTATTAGACATTAAGGAAACAGTCAAGATGTCAATGACAGGTCACTACCCACACTGCCAGGTCAGATGAAACTGAGATGCTGACAGTATCAGGCATGGTGAGATTCCACAAGGAGAGTTCTCCCCGTGCTGAAGTGGTTCCTATGAAATGCATGTGCGTACTCCTCTGCACAATGACAATAATAGCTGCCGTAGCTTTATTTGTAAATATCACTGTAACAGAAACATAACAGTTAGATTTATAGAGTAAGTTTTTACAGTCAAATTCCACACAGCTACACACAACACACATTAAGTGGGAAGCAAGAGAAAAACACAAAAGTTAAGATTTGTTCATATAAACATTAAAGTATACATAAAGTACAAAGTTGACAAGACTGAGTTTCACTTAGAAATTCATTCATGGGCATTTAGTAAAATATATTTGGGAACTGGGGAGCTAATTCGGTAAGACTATTTGCTGCACAAGTGTGAAGACCTGAACACTAATCCTCAGCTCACACATAAGTATGTGGATACAGGGATGCATTGTTTTTCTTATCAAAAAGTTCACTTTTTTTTGAGCTATCGGGTTCATAGATGATGGGTTTTAGTAGATGTAGGGGAATGATTCAACTGGTAGAAATGGAGAGATATTTGATTACAATTATAATTGGATTGGGGTATGCTGGCCTACATAGAATTTTGTTAATATATAGAGAGAAGCCTGACCATCACATGAGTTTTCACTAAGAGATTATCTTCTGAAAGGAATTCCTTTCTCTGGGTCTTGTAGGTTTTCTTTTGCAATCAAGACTTGAGTGAGCAGACGAGAAGTGACCTTCTAAGGATCAGTGCAGTAGTGGATGCTCAGCGGCTTACCTCACATATACCACAGAAGAAGACACATCTAAAACAAAGAAACAGCTTTTACACCAGACAAGATTTCTTCCTGTTCAGGTTCATTCATTCATCTGTTCACTCATTTCATCTGGAAAAGCTTTACTAGGCAAATAGTAATATTAATCATTGTTTTAAATCGTTGGCCTGAGCAAGCCCTGAAGGTACTTATATTCTGCATGTTCTGCATGGAGGTAGAGAAACAGTAATCTTAAAAACACAGGACCACACACATGGTATGTAAAAAGAAAAGAAAAGCATAATATGGGAGACAGGAGTACAGGACATTGGAGGACACAAGGGAAGAAAAGTTGCAACCTTAACCAGGATGTCACAACTGGCTGGTTTTCTGCAGTTTTTATTTGGTTGTTTGCATTTTTTTTTTAAACACTGTGTGTATTAGTCACAGGAATAGAGCTAAGTATATGTTAAAGACTTTGCAAAACTTACCTTCTAATCTGACATTTAGCTGTTGACTTTGTTCCCGTCTCCTACTAATAACTTACTTCTGTAGTAAGTTCTCCTGGAACTTACTATGTAGACCAGATTGACCTCAAATTCAGAGATCCTTCTGCCTCTGCTTCCCCAGTGCTGGGATTAAAAGTGTCTATCCAGGCCTAGCTCATGATGAACATTTTTAAGACAGGGTTCTAGATTCAGCCTCAGAAGTACTGGGATCACAGGTATGGGCCACCACACCCAGTTTAAATTGAAAATCAAAGTGATTTTTAAATTGGCTATTCTAAAGCCATGGGATGCATTGCCTTCATCAAACTATCCTTCTAAATGGCAGGAAACAGACTTTCTGAAATTTTCTTCTGAGGTTTTTAAGACTTTTTTGATCCCTTTTGGACACGATTTTTCTATAACCTTTGAAGCTGGAATGCATACATTGTCTCCTCCATGCAAACAGTCAATTTTACAATCGCAAGTATTACATATAATATCTTAACACATTAAAACACTACCTTTGCTCTATTAAAAATGAAGGCGCATATAAAGCTGGTGTGATCTGCAAGAGATGAGACAGGTCATGTGTCACTAAGAAGGTTATGGGAAGAGGACTGAGTACCAGGAATCAGACAGGATCACCTCATCTCTAGTGACACATGGGTAACCTGCCTGATAAGCCAGGCCAGGAATCCTTGTAGAAGAGAATTCTATTTCTAAATTCAAAGATCTTCAATTACAGGACGAAGGAGATGGTTCTATTGTTGTACACACACACACACACACACACACACACACACACACACACACACACACAATCTCCTAAAGAACGAGGATGGGGAGGGAGAAACATTGCCAAGGGACAAAATGAGCAAGCAGGGGGCTGCAAGATGACTGCAGGCAGAATTGGGGGGTGGGTGGGCACAATTACTATTCTGTGGTAATCAGTTTGAAATAAAAGCACAGAGGAGGTTGAGGCAGAGAATTGCCATGAGGCTAGCCTAAGCTACATAGTAAACTGGAGGCTAGTCTGGGTTACATAGTAAGACCCTGCTTGTAAACTAAAGCAAACCAAAAAAGGTTAGTAAGTTACATGATTTTTTGTACCAGGAGAATTAGCTGGTAAGTCAACTTTAAGTTTTAGAGCCAGGTGGTGGTGACATACACCAGTACATGGGAGGCAGAGGCAGGTGGATCTCTGTGAGTTCAAAACCAGCCTGGGCTATGAGTAAGTTTCAGGAAAGGCACCAAAGCTACACAGAGAAACCCTGTCTTGAAGAACAATAACAAACAAACAAAAAAGTTTTTAGGAAAGGAGATGGCTAATTCTGTCAACTTGACTGGACCTGGAATCCAATAAGAGATAAGTTGACAGGGCCACCTGTAAGGGATTTTCTCGATCAGATTATTTTAAGTAGGATGGCCCATCCTAAATAAGAGTAGCACCTTCTAATGATAGAGAAGACAAAAGAAGGCCCTACGGAAAAGTCTTGGGTTTGGCCTGCTTGCCTTCCAGTTTGCTGTCCAGTTCCTCTCTGTCCTCAGCTTGTCCAGTTCCTCTCCTCATCCTCAGCTTGTCCAGTTCCTCTCTCCGTCCTCAGCTTGCTGTCCAGTTCCGCTCCCTGTCCTCAGCCTGTCCAGTTCATCTCCCCTGCTGCTACCATTGTTAGTTGACTCAGAATCCATCTTTTTTAGTCTTCCAATGTGGACTGTAGACCAGTGGCTCTCAAGGAATCCTTCAGGCATTCAGAATCACAATGGGGCTGTTTGGGACTGCTGAGACATGTAGCCTTGTGGACTGGGTTTCTACTCAGTATGGACACTCATACTGCATCCTGAAAGCCAATCTAGCGAACTCTTCTTTAATATATATCCACTCTATCAGCTATGGTCTTCTGGAGAACCCTAGTTAATACAGACATTTTTTCAACTTCCTTTCTTTTTCCTAAGTGTTTCCACTGTTAAAGTCAAAAGCTTTATGGTATCATTTTCTTAGTATCAGGTCCAGTAAGTTAAAAACTTTTTTGTTTTTACCTATCTTACTAATACTTCCAGACTATTTTAATCAAATGCTTTTAATTTTGTGAACTAATTTTTCTTGTGTTTAGTTAATAAGTCAACATTTCAATGGACTTTTTGAGGGGTTGATAAAGGCAGCTGGGATATTAAAAACTAGGCATGTTCCTGTCACCATCTTGCCATTGAAATTTCATTCCTCTATTTTATAACATGTCATTCATTCATTCAACCAGCACTTACTCAGCACCTATTATGCACCATGTACTGTTCTATATGCAGAGGACATCAGTAAATAAAGAGGGTTCCTGCTTTTCTGGAATTTAGGTTCTAATACCATTAGACAGACAATAATATTAGTAACAGCCAATATTGATTTAGTGAGTCTGCTTGCTGAAATAGTTATAAGCACTTTACAAATAGTTATGCAATTACTACAGTAACAGAAAGAATTACCCTTACCTTTGCACAAAAGATGGAGAGCATGAAAGGGAAAATAATTTACACAGCTAGGGAGGACAGAACTGGAGTCAAAGCTAAGAGTCACGCAGATGCTTAGTCTCAATACTTTGGCTCAGATCAAAAAGAAAAGGGTGCATAGCGTAATGAAAACAAACAGTAAACCCAGCTGATATTCAGTATTATGAACGTATAGAACTGGGTGCTGTAAATGCATGCACGGGAGGAATGGGGGAACAGTATGCATGCCAGGGGAAACCCCACTGAGGAAGCAGCAGTGAGCTAAGACCTGAAAAATGGCATTACAGCTGTCTTTGGGCAGAGGCAAAGGACATAGTACAAGACTGTAAAAAACAGAAGAATGCATGCCTGCACTTGGAAGGTTGACGCAGGAGAACTGTGAGTCAGGATATATAAAGCTTAAGTTCAAAGTCAGCCTGGGCTACACAGCAAGACCTTGTCTCAAAACTCAAAAGAAACTATGGAACCCTGCCTTGCTCTGAGAAACAGAAATGTCCAGTTGAGTGTATCTAGAGTGTGGTGTACCCATGACTGACTGAAGCCAGGAAGACAGACTGTAAAGAGGCCTCAAAATCAAGTTAAGACACGTGGCTATTTTATCTTAAGTGCTCAAAACACGATCGTTTTGTGCAAAACCGTAGGAAAGACCATTTGGAGGTAATTACAAATCCAAGAGAAAAACCACAGAGGCCTGAGTGAGGGTGGTGGTCAGGAAATGAACTCAGAATAATTTTTACAATACTGGACAAGAATGGCATGTGGATAGGATGTCAAGAGTGAAGGAAGTGGATCTTGGGCTTTGGGTTTGAGCCACTAATATGATGGCAGTGTTCTTAGGTTGTGGGAGGCTGAGGGAGGTATATAGCTTCCCTAAGAAAAAAGAAGCATTTCACCTTCTACTTCACAGGGAGGGGGTTTCTTCTCTAATTCTCTTTCTCCATTTAAAAGTTCCAAAGGAAGGACTGAAGGGCACTGAAATGTTCAAATGTTTTAGGAGACCCTTCCACTTGGGACAAACTGGAGAACCTAATCTACCGTCCTTCAAGCTCTCAATGATGGGACACCAAGACAACGTTGGGGAAGCCATCTTAATTCCATCTCATGCTCTTCCTGGCAGTCTCTAAATGCTCACTGCCGTCAACACTCCTGGCATCTCCCCTCACACTTCAGCGCTTATTGCATTCAGCTATATATCTCTATATAAATCTTAACAAGCAATGCACTATAACCCCTGCCTCCAGGGCTGGTGGTTTCGCAGGAATGGTACCTTTGGAAAGCTCGTGGCTGCCCCCGCACTTATTTGCGCCTTCTTCATATCCACTTAAGTGACAATTCTAGTCCCTAGGCTGCGGGTGTGTGAGGAGCAGGAGCCGTTGGGTCAGTTGGCACGCTCTCCTCAGATCTCACGCCTGCGAGGCGCGGACCGACTCCCCGGCGCCTTCCGTCCTCGCAGCGCCGCAGCGAAGGAGTCTGGGAGGGGGTCGGGGAAGGAAAAGACGCAAGAGAGATTAAGTAATTGGTTCTCAAAGACACGGGATGATATTTAGGGTCGACTCCAAAGCACCGATTTCAAACGCCCGCCCCCTGAGCCGCATTGGCTCCGCCCCTCGACGACGTCACACCAACTTCCTGTTGGGTCTCTGCGGATTGGTCGCTGCGTCAGCCTCTGAGACACGGTTAAAAACCCGGATTTGCTTCCGGGTGTGGAGTTCGAGCTTCCGACGCAGCGGTTGGAAGCGCGAAGATTTTGCTTCCGGGTCTTAACTGAGCCCCGGGTGGAGAGCTGGAAGCCTGGCATTTTGTTTCCGGTCTTGGGCTGGCGCCCCCGGCGCAGAGGTTTCTGGGAGCGTCGCGTCGCGATGGTTCGTGGGTGAGCCTCGGAAGGAGCCGCGTCCGACCCCCGCCGGGGTGAGTAGCCCGGGCTTGGCCGTGTGCCGTCCGGGGAGGGTGGCGCCGCGAAGCCGAGATCGCCGCCGCGCGCCGTGACG